CCGAGGCCCCGGCGTCGCTCCGGACCCGAGTGGGCACCGGCGGAGCCTGGAGCCGGGCGCCTGCGCTTCCGTGCAGAGGTGCGGCGCGCCACGGGAACTTTCCTCCGTCCGGTGCGGGGACAGCCCAGCCCAGGAGGCGTTTGCGGGGGGTCGCTGGCTCGCGGGGGCCCGCTCTCGGACAGGGACAGCTGCCCGGGCTGCGCCCTCAGCCCCTAGTCTCGGCGGCGAGGCAGTAGCAGCGGGCACTGCGGGCACAGCCTACTCGGCTGCGTCTGCGCTGCGCCCTGGCCCGCGCCTACGATTTCCGGACATCTCGGAGGCCGCACCTAGTCCCCCAAGCACTTTGTCCCCGGTGTCACCGCCGCCGCGGCGCCGACCGGTGCAGGACTGGGGAACTCCGGAGACCTCCCGCCTTGAACTTGGCCTCACGTCGTCCTCCACGGCAGGCGGGAAGGGCGGGAGGCCAGCGCTCCCCTGCCCGGGGCCAGGTCCCCGGTTGCGCTCCTCTGCTCGGGTCAAGGAAACTTGCCCACCGGGTGCAAGGCTTCAGCTAGGTGTCCGTGTGCGCCGTGTGGAGTCCCAGGAAAGCGAACGGAAGGAGCCCACAGCCCAACAGAGTCTTCGGAAGCGACTGGCGACCGGAGATGCCCGGAGCCCGGGCTCCTAGGGGGTGCTCGCCGCGCCCTGCGGCGGTGACCTCGCGGCGGAGGTCAGAAGCATCTTGGCGGCCGCTGACGCTGAAATCCCGGGCCCCGGGCTCCCGCGGCGGGGTGGCGTCGGGCCGCGCGCTCCGAGCAGCCGGTGGCCAGCGGCACAGCGCGTGGCCACCTTTACCGCGGCGACAGGACGGGACTGTTCTCCCCGCGCGACCCGCCCCTCGTGTCACCCACTCCCTCTCAGCGTCCCGGTGCGTCGGGGACGGTGGCGCTTGGTGGGACCCCCTGCGCTCAGCCCCAGGACCTGGCCAACACCGCTTGTGGACGGGCCGGCGTCCTGGAGTGCGCGGTCCTCCTCTTCTCGCCCAGCAGGCACCCGGGCTCGGAGGGCCGGGCACCAGGGGCGAGCGCGGCGGAGCTCAGCCAAGCAGGGCGCTCTCGGAGCCTGGCAGCCCGGGCTCGGATGCTGCCATCTGGGCGCTAGAGGGGGTTAGCTGACAACAGATATGTCTGAGCTGCACGCAGGTGGAAGAGGCGAGTGGGGCCAGGAACCCCAGGGAAGCAAGACAGTTCTCAGACTAAACTTAAAGCGTTTGTTAGAGGGGCACCAGGGAAATCACATCGCGGGGTGGAGATTTCTGTAATGTTATATTCATGGTTTTCATGATTTCCTTTCTTGCAGGAACTTAGATGATCACAGTCAAGTGAGGTTGAAAAGCCCAACCAGATCCAACCCATTCTGATAGATTCTAAAATGTGTACGGTGGGGAAAAGCGAAAACAGCTGTATCTTAGAGGGTTGGGGATAGTATTCAAGTGGGAGTTGAATGACACAACAGCAGGAGGAGGGCCAGAAGTGGATGAAGGATTGAAAGGTCAGCATTTGATGCCTAAAGGATTTAGAAAGAGAAATGTGCCTCCTGTTTGATGTATTTCTGCACATCGATGTTTGTGTTGTAGCCTCCAGTTAAAGGGGGATTAGCTAATGCCTTGGGAATGATTGAAGAAGAAGGAAGGAGAGATGCGCTACTTTAAAAATGCTGCAGCGTGGAGAGAAAGGGGAAATGCAATGATGAGAATGTAAGGACGGTTTCTGATTGGTGACTGTCCTTGCTCTCTCAGCACTTAGCCTCATCCTCTCTCTTTAAAGGTGTCCTGGCCAATTTAAATGGATGAACATCCCTTCTCAAAAAAATAAAGATGTCTGGGTTTTATGTGTTGTTGAAGGAATTCTGATTTCAAAACTCATTTTACCACTCTTACTGATACTGACTGATCACAATTGCAATGCTATTGGATCATGCTGTCTATATATAAACTACTTTTCTATAGATGTTTGGTGATTCATTACACTGATATTAACTTTTGATTCAATATATCTTTCTTTTCACATACCATCAAAGAATTCCAGTACATATTTAATGATTTTTTAAATAAAAATTTTATTTTATGTTTGCTTATACTGAAGAAGTCCATAGGTTGACATTGAAAATTCAGAGAACAGCTCTGTTCAAGGAGATGCTTTTTAGAAAAAACATTACATTCTTATGAACTTAAGTGAGGTATAGATAGCATCGTTATTTTAGAAATGTAAACTATGTTATTTTCCCCCAAAATTCCTATGTTTTAAATTAGCCAGACTTGCAGGGAGAATTTTTAAATGGCACACCACTAAAAGGAAGAGAATTTCAAATAATCCCTAACATTGAAATAATTTTAAACTAGTTTAAAATTTAGATCTGATGTTAGTTTTCCTTGAGTGCTACTTTTTGGAGAATACATTAAGAGATCCCCAGTGTAATGCTAATTTAAAATTCAACTGGATAGTACTAAATCTAATAGAAACAGATAATGAAAGAAGGAGGAAGGAAGGAAGGAAGGAAGAAAGGGAGGGAGGAAGGAAGGAAGGAAGGAAGGAAGGAAGGAAGGAAGGAAGGAAGGAAGGAAAGCAGACTACAATTCATCCTAGGGAGGGTACTTGCAAATTGTTTACTTTGAAATTCAGTAGCTTGAAGTTTGAAGGTAGATTAAACTGCTCCACCTATGTGCCCACAGCTAAGTTTGCATAAAATTCAATGTATTGTTTTAAAGAAGTCATAGTCAGTCATGATGTAATATTTCTGGTGAGATAGTTATAGTCATATTCCGTTTCTGGTTTCTAGGGAAATAATAGAAGATTTTTTCATATTAAAATAATAACACATGCATCATATGGTGTGATATATGTTAACATTGTCTATTTAATATCTAGAAATTAATGTTTTTATCAAAGAAGAGAAATTGAAATTATCTTTATCTCTAACTATAGTAAAATTCTATAGGTTTGACATGATCTTCACTTTCAAAATATGGTAGCAAAAATATCCAGACACATGTGTATGCCATATAGGGTACAGTATAGCAATAATGAAACCCACAACCTTCCTCTAGTTCTTAAATGCTTCCTTCCCCCAATTACCAGGACCCCAATTCTGCCTTGCAGACCTGTTTAGACCAGATGATGCACAGCGGTACAGATGGAAATTGGAAACGCAGGGAATCTAGGACAGATGAACCTCTCAGGACCAGGGGTGACAATGGCGATACCAGGAGGGAAGGGGGGTATAGAAAGGGGGAATTGATCACAGGGAGCTACATATAACCTCCTCTCTGGGGGACAGGCAGCAGAGGGATGGGTAAAAGGAGAGTCCGGGCAGTGTAATATAAGATACAATAATAATTTATAAATTATCAAAGGTACATGGGGGAGAGGGGAGGAGGAAGGGAGGGGGAGGGAAAAAAGGAAAATGAGTTGATTCTGGAAACCCAAGAGGAAAGCGAATTTTGGGAATAATGAGGGCAACAAATGTATAGATGTGCTTTACACAATTGATCTATGTATTGTGATGAATTGTATGAGCCCCAATAAATTGATTAAAAAATATGCATGCACGTGTATATAACCATAGTCATTCTAAAATAGTTATTGTGCTCTTCCTGTGTTCTCAGTTCTTTTCACTCAGAGAAGAGTAAATGGGAAACTACTTTGTATGAGTAAAAATAGTTTGTTTAGAAAGCTAACTTCTTACTCAAAATGTAATCATGTTTATCTGATATAAGGTAGAAGCCACTGTGCTTAACAGAAGTGTACATTTTTATACTTTCTAGCAGTGCTGATATATTTACTGACATGCGGCAGTTTCAAAATTACAAGCCACTCAATGAACCAGATGCAGTATTCTTTTTTTTTTTTTCAGATGCAGTATTCTTGTAGATTTATCTGTACTCATTTGTTTGAAGCATGCACATATTCAGACAAGCTTTGTATATCATGTTCCTTAGAAATACATGGTTCAGTATACTTTTATATTCATTTATACCATTGTTCTTCAAGATATATGTGGTCATGATTCAGGTAAAAATTATTCAATTTGTATTAAATTAAAAAAAATATGAACCTGAAACTAGTCGAAGTTTTTATTTACAGTAGAAATAATATTCACAAATACTATTTGCTTTTTAAAATGATGAAAGAAGATGAAACTTAACCTGAAATTAATTCCTTTGGAAAAAAGGAAGGAGGATTATAGCATTTAATACTCAGCATGATTCAAGTTTCAAGAAAGTCTTAAGTATATTATTCTGGTAGAAAAGTCATTTGATCCACTTAGAACTGTAATTTGCATTCTTTAAGATCAAGAAAGAAGCAACATAAATACAACGAGTATTGATCCTCAAATATATGAAAATATCAGGCCTTAAAGGATGATGTTGCTATTTTGAATACACACACTTGTTTGTATCTGTATTTTAAATACAAAATACAGAGATATGCTATGGGTAGTAATATTACTACTGTCATATCATCAGTTTTAAAATATAACTAAGTTACATATTGAATTGCAAGTATTTTAGTATCCAAATATCAAAAGCAAAAAGCCACATGCACATACATGAAAATATATTTAAGTTGAAACCATAAGGTTTTAGAAAATATGTAATTAGAGAGAAAAGTTTTATATCATTTAA